GTCGCATTGGAGTTCAGTTTGTGTGTTTTAAAGTAATTTACAAGTATTATTAATATGGCCGTCCGTCTATATTTTAAAGGAAGTCATTTGTGGAAATATCCAACAATAGTTATAAAGCGACATTGCTTTAAGGAAGTAAACGCCTCAATTTTGATTATGTTCACCGGTGGGCCGTGAATGTTTTAGGTTAGTTCTATTTATTCAGGACCTGCCTTGTGGCGGTTGGACTAACAATAATATTGTATTGTTTATTTAGGGCTGTCATTACACGTGGGGTACAAGAAATATACAAGTATATTGGTATTTCAACGTTTTAATCATGATTGACATACATACATATGTATATTAGAAATTGAGGCAAACATGAGTTGAATTCACTCCGGATTTCTCGTTTGGTAATACCTACGAATAGACTATCGACCCACGTTTGCTTAATAGAATAAAGAAGTAATTTCAAAAACAATTAAATTACCTATTGAACTACGCGTTGGTGGTTTAATGTAAACTAATATATTAACATGTTTTCCAGCAATCTGTTATTACATATTTAATGCACAAGCACTGGTTTAAAGCTTATCATGACAGGTACATGTCCAATTACTACTCGATGTGTGATAATGTCAATTATTAAGTAAAATAACAATTCAATATTGCTTTTCATTTGTGGTTTGCGGAAAATGTTGAATTAACTGAAAAAAAGCTGTACATTTTTTTCCTTGCGGGTTGTTTAATATAAAATAAGCTATTTGATAATTCTAATAATTTCAAATATTCGTAGCTTGTCATAGAATAATATTGTGGTTCACGATTCACTAATAACTGTTTCGACATTGTTGGCATTCGTGTCAAGATTTGAATCCACGATCGCAAGATCGGAAGTCTGTAACGTGTACCAATTAAGTTATTGGCGTTGTTTTGTACTAAATCAATTTTAGAGCTTCAATAGTTTTACATATGAAATATTTGTTAAAACGATTACATTATGTAGTACTGGTATTTTAAAGAAAATTTGCGTCAAAGTAAATATTTCAATAACCGAGCTTTTCCA